GGTTCTGGCCTACTGTCCGCGTGAAAGGTTTGGGTCGAATTGTCCGTGCCGTCAAGGAGATCGGGGTGAAACCTCCCGGTGAGTGGCCCACCCAATACTCCCCATCCGAAAATCATCTCGCGTTTCACCAGTTCCGCGTCGATTCGATTAGTAGCGGGCTCAAATTGAAGGTAGGTCCCTAGGCTCCGATACCCGCGAAAGATCTTGGTCCAAACGTCCACGCCATCGCGGATATTCGGTCATAACATGGCGGTGAGTGGCCCACCCAATACTCCCTATCGAAAAACCATTTCGCGTTTCACCAATTCCGCGTCGATTCGGGTCGTAGCGGGCTCGAATTCAAGGCATGATGTTGCAATACCATCCGCGTTGTAGGTTTGGGTCGAATCGCCCATGCCGTCAAGGAGATTGCGTGAGTCCTCCCGGTGAGTGGCCCCCACCCAATACTCCCTGACAGAAAATTGTCTCGCGTTCCACCAATTCTGTCTCGATTCGAATGGTAGCGGACTCGAATCAACGGTGCGATGATAGGCTTTAATATCCGCCAAAGGTTTGCATCTAGACATCCGCGCCATCGTCGAGATTCAGGGGACCTTTGCCGGTGAGTGGCCACCCATTACCCCTGCCTAAACTTGTTTCGCATTCAATCGATTTCACGTCAATTCGGGTCGTAGCGGGCTCAAATTAAAGGTAGTATCCTAGGCTCCAATCCCGTGAAAGATATGTGCTCACATGTCCACGCCATCATGGCTGTTCGGTCAAAACATCTCGGTAAGTGGCTGCACCCTTGATGATCGCGTAAATCGGTGAGTTCATGGTATAAAATCTTACTTTTTACATATTATGACTACTATACATGTCTAATAATGTCACCGAAAAACGACTGCCACCAGCATCCCTCGTTATCTCGCAGGACGCCATTCTGCCTGGGGTGTATGTGGCACACATGCCCCTCCCCCTGGCTTATCGCATAACTCGGTCTGTTTCCTGTATAGGCTCCTACTTTTTACATATTCTGACTCTTCTACATGTCTCATAACGTCACCGAAAACCTACCGTGACCAATCTACCTCGTTATTTCGCAGGACTCCATTCTCACTGGAGGTGTATGTGGCCCACATGCCCTCCCCAGAATACCGCATAATTCGGTCAGTTCGTCATATTACCTCTTACTTTCTACATGTTTTGACTCGTCTACAGGCCCCATAACCACACCGACGAACGCGCTCCGCCGATTCCACTCGTTATCTTGCAGGACGTTATTTTCTCTGGGGGATATGTGGCCCACATGGCCTCCCTAGAATATTGCATAAGTCAGTCAGTTCGTC